CTTTTTATTAATTGAATAACTGTACCAATTGATTAATTGATGAAACTAAACATGTTACGAATCTACACACTCACACCGATATTATCGTGTTAAAATCTTTCTTTTGATCGCAGAATCTTGCCCGCGAATTTATTGAAGCCTTAGCCAATTGATGAGCATTTGTTAGACAAGCAGGCACGCTGCCGCACACCATTGTTCCAAGACATTTCGTCAATTGCGTAATCATCATTGAGGTCCACGTTTGCCTTAGGCACATGTTTCTTTATTCAATTTGATCCAATCCCATTGCTGATACCCAGACATCTCAACAAAGTATCTACCCAACGTATTCAGCAGCTTTAGTATCTACCCATAACTTATTGACCGAACCTACCCAACCCTGGTGATCCATCTACTTACCTACCTAGTAACTAACCCCTTCCACCTGCCTACTCATTAACCCACATTACTATGTATATACCTTCGAGTATTTAATGACCTGAACTCTACTTTAACTAACTAACCTGCTCACCTAACGCACATATTTTTCTCAATCTACTGCTGGATGATTACTCCCCACGCCGTGTCGCGGGGGTTATTTGATCTAACTTCACCACGCTGGTATATACTGTATGCAACACACAAACATAACGGAACATCGCACCGTAAATGCGCAGACAATGTACACGTATTCTTGGTTCTTTCGGTAAAGTCACGTAGATAGAAAACAAAAAATATAAATAACATAATATTTTTTTAATTATAAATCTAAATTATAAATTGAAAATAATAAAAGCAAAAAACCCGCCACGTTTTTTTATTCTGGTTTTTTGCTTTTATTATTTTCAATTTATTATTTTTATTTGTTTATAATTTTATTATTTTGTTTTATATCTCTGTGACTTTACCGAAAGAACCAAAAACATGAATTCCTGCAGTCACGAAAATTTTAAGTCTAAATGTAATGTACACGTAGCACAAGGCACATACACAATATACACAATCCACACACCAACAACACGGATCGGCGCACAACTTACAGGGTCAAACTACACAACGGAGTACACAACACAACGGTGAACACAAAAAGCCCTACCACACCCCACGACACCCTACAAACAACACGTACACCACACATGAATAACAAGCACGCACGCACGCAGCACACGACTGTATACTCACACGACCCACGATATCAATAGCACAAGGACAAAGATACCCCGAATAGCCTCTAACAGATTGCTGGGGCGAGAGAGTGCTGTTCGCGAGCGCCTATGAAGACCAGCAACAGCACACGAGGGGGGTAAGGGGGGCCATCTCCACGCCCGGCCGCCTTTGTCTCCCCAGGACTGATGTTTACACATCAAACGAGGTCCCCATTTAAGGTTGAGTGGACCTAAGCGCTAACCGATTAACATACTTCATGGTAGTGAACGGAAATGAAACTCGGGTCATGGGGTTTGTGGGGTAGTGCGGTAACCACTGCGCCACGACTCCACACACCACACACACACACGCACCACACACACACACCACACACACACACAAACCACATACACAAACCACACACACAAACCACACACACACACCACACACACACCACACACGCACTTAAAAAAGTCTTCAATACACAGGCAGCACATGACACCAAAAAACACACAATACATTTAGCACATCACACAAAACACACCCCCCCCACAACACACCAAACTTCCAAACCACACCCAACACAAAGACAAAGACCACCTGTACAGCCTTGACAGACTGTTGAGGCAAGTGCTTGAGCGAGCACCTATGATGGCCAGAACGGCACACGATGGGGTGGGTAGCCAGCACCACGCCCGGCCGCCTTTGTCTCCCGAAGGGCGATGTTTACACACCGCAGCAGGTACTCATTTGAGGCTGAGTCGACTTAGCGGAAGCACAGGACCGGTTCAGCGAATTGTGTCGGCCGTGAGCGAGAATCGAACTTGGATCGCCGGGCTCATAGCGCAGCGCACTAACAGCTGAACAGCACAGCCCAGCATACAGCACAACACAGAACCAACACACACCACACCCAACACAGCACACACCCAAACACACACCACAACCCAACACAGCACACACCCCAACACACACCACCCCAACACAGCACACACCCCACACCCCATCACATACCCCACCACACACCCCACCACAAACCCCATCACACACCCCATCACACACCCCATCACACACCCCACACACCAACACACACCACCTCCCACACACCCCAACACACCCCACACCACATCACACCCCAACACACAGCACACACCCCAACATACACCACACCACCACAACACAGAACCCCAGCACACAGCACACACCACAACGCCACACACCCCAACACACCCCACACACCCCAACACACTCCACACACCCCAACACATCCCAACACACAGCACACCCCCCAACACACAGCACACACCCCAACACACACCACACAGCACCCCAGCACAACACACACCACACCCCAACACCCCCAACACACCACACTCCCCATCACACCATCACACACCACACACCCCAACACACCCCACACATCCCACCAGCACAGTACAGCACACACCCCCCAACACACCGCACACACCACAGCCCGGCACACCACACCGCACACCCCAACACAGCACACACCACACAGCACAAACCGCACACACCACAGCCCGGCACACCACACCGCACACCCCAACACAGCACACAGCACACACCACACACACCACAGCCCGGCACACCGCACACCAAAGACACCGCGGCGCTCTTTGCGGCCTCTACGTCGCTCCCCCGCGGGCGACGAGCGAGCGAGGCCGTCCTCGCCAAGCCACCGGAGTGGCGGTTTTGACGACAGAGGCGACGGCGGCGGTAACGGTGGCGAGTGTTTTGCGTGGGTACGTTGAACTTCTTTCGCACCGTACGTGACCAACCGTGCGAATCGGAGGCGCAAATGTCGTCGTGACGGGTGGTGACGATGGCGAGTGTGGTGGTGCTGGTGGTGGTGCTGGTGGTGGTGCTGGTGGTGGTGGTGCTGGTGATGCTGGTAGTGGTGGTGATGCTGGTGGTGGTGGTGCTGGTGGTGGTGGTGCTGGTGGTGCTGGTGGTGGTGCTGGTGATGCTGGTAGTGGTGGTGATGCTGGTGGTGGTGCTGGTGGTGCTGGTGGTGGTGATGCTGGTGATGCTGGTGGTGGTGCTGGTGGTGATGCTGGTGGTGGTGCTGGTGGTGGTGCTGGTGGTGGTGCTGGTGGTGGTGGTGGTGATGGTGGTGGTGGTGCTGGTGGTGCTGGTGGTGCTGCTGGTGGTGCTGCTGGTGGTGCTGGTGGTGGTGGTGATGCTGTTGGTGGTGGTGATGCTGGTGGTGATGCTGGTGCTGGTGATGGTGCTGGTGATGGTGCTGGTGATGGTGCTGGTGGTGGTGGTGGTGATGCTGGTGCTGGTAGTGGTGGTGGTGCTGGTGGTGCTAGTGATGGTAGTGGTGGTGATGCTGGTGATGGTGGTGGTGCTGGTGGTGGTGGTGGTGATGCTGGTGGTGGTGATGCTGGTGGTGGTGGTGATGCTGGTGGTGATGCTGGTGGTGGTGGTGATGCTGGTGGTGGTGATGCTGGTGATGCTGGTGGTGCTGGTGGTGGTGGTGCTGGTGGTGCTGGTGGTGATGGTGGTGGTGCTGGTAGTGGTGGTGATGCTGGTGGTGGATGCTGGTGGTGGTGATGATGCTGGTGATGGTGGTGGTGCTGGTGATGGTGGTGGTGCTGGTGATGGTGGTGGTGCTGGTGATGGTGGTGTGGCTGGTGATGGTGGTGGTGATGCTGGTGATGTTGGTGGTGGTGGTGATGCTGGTGGTGGTGATGCTGGTGGTGCTGGTAGTGGTGGTGGTGAACCCTTAAACAAATATAAAGGGGAGACGGTCACGAAGACCGTATTCCCACGCACCCTCGACGAGCCCGGTCGGATACGTACGATGTGAAAGAAGTTCAACGTACACGCATCTCTTCGAGGGGCCCCGGGCAATGGGGAGACGCAGCCTCGATCCCCAATCGCATCCATTCTCCCTGCGAGAGTTGGGATGTCGCAACGCGACTGCGTTGCGAGGTCCAGTCGCGTAGAGACGGAACATGCAGCTACAGTCAAGAGGGGCTTCGTTTGGTCTTTCGAAATCGCGACACTGGGATGGCCGCAGCGAGAGAGGGAGAGAGCAAGAGGTGGGGGTTTACATAAATCAAAGTTTACAAAAATACGAAATGATGAACGAAGCAAAGTGCCGACTACACCGAGCATCTTCTTGTTTCCACTGATCGTAAAAAAATAGAAAGAGCCGAGCGAGAGAGCCGAGCGAGAGACAGACGAGAGAGAGAGAGAGAGAGGCGAAAGATACATGGGGGTGGTATGAAAGAGGGGCCCGAGAGGGGGGGGGGGGGTACATAAAACAAATCATTAAAAAAAAACGAAATGATGAACGAAGCAAAATGCCGACTACACTGATCATCTTCTTGTTTCCTCTGATCGTAAAAAGAGAGCGAGAGACGCGGGCGAGAGCGGCATTGGGTCTACGATGGACACAATTCGGTGGGTTTGGGGTGAGTGGGTGGGTGGGGGTAGCGGAAGATCGCGAGATTGAAAATAAAGTCCGTTTCCACCGAGGGACGAGGGGGAAGAACGCGGTAAGATGATCGCAGCCTCTCAAACACCACGGACGCATCTCACGCGACGAATGCCGTCGGAACGCAGCAGGTTGGCGACCAACAAAAGCAACGTCGCAATAAATCTGCACAAGCGGCGGCGCTCTGGGTGTTATCCCCCCCGCCGCTCTGACGGATGTTTACAAGACGCTCCACCACCGGGGAGAGAAGATGCTCACGATGCATCGTCGGGCACCGGTCACGACCGTCTTCTCGTGAGCCCCGCGGCCACACGAAGCCCCCAGCACGAGCGGAGCGAGCAGCAGAGGAGACCGTGCGGAGAGGACGCGAGACCCGGGGGGGGGGGGGGGGTCCGCGTGCCACGCTCACCTGCTCCCCGCAGGGCGCGGTGTTCCGCCCATGGAGACGGAGCGAGGGCTGAGTGGAGTCTCTGGTGGTGGTGGTGGAGGACTGTGGGTTGTGACGGGCGGCTCAAGGCTCCAGCCGCCCGACTCTCAGAGTGACCGACGGGGGGGGGGGGGGGGGGGACGATTCGGTGCCGCGACTCGCTCCAGCGAGCGACGATGCCGACAGGGGCGCTGTGGGCGGCGCCAGGAATCACCTCGCGCGATGTGCAATCAGGCGCGCCTCGCTATTGTGGTGGTGGTGATGGTGGTGGTGATGGTGATGGTGGTGGTGATGGTGGTGGTGATGGTGGTGATGGTGGTGGTTGTGGTGGTTGTGGTGGTGATGATGATGATGGTGGTGGTGGTGATAGTGGTGATGGTGGTGGTGATGATGGTGGGGGTGGTGATGATGATGATGGTGGTGGTGATGATAATGATGGTGGTGGTGGTGATGATGATGATGGTGGTGATGGTGGTGGTGGTGATGATAGTGATGGTTGTGGTGGTGATGATAGTGATGGTTGTGGTGATGGTGGTGATGATGGTGGTGGTGATGATTGTGGTGGTGATGATGGTGGTGGTGGTGGTGATGGTGGTGGTGGTGATGATAGTGATGGTTGTGGTGGTGATGATAGTGATGGTTGTGGTGATGGTGGTGATGATTGTGGTGGTGATGATGGTGGTGGTGGTGATGATGGTGGTGATGGTGGTGGTAATAATGGTGATGGTAATAATGGTGATGGTGGTGATGGTGATGGTGGTGGTGGTGATGATGATGATGGTGGTGGTGATGGTGGTGGTGGTGATGATAGTGATGGTTGTGGTGGTGATAGTGATGGTTGTGGTGATGGTGGTGATAATAATGGTGGTGGTGGTGATGATGGTGGTGATGGTGGTGATGATGGTGGTGGTAATAATGGTGATGGTGGTGGTGATGATGGTGGTGGTAATAATGGTGATGGTGGTGGTGATGATGGTGATGATAATGGTGATGGTGGTGATGATGATGGTGGTGGTGCACTCAAGGCGTGGTCATGACCGAACAAGGGACTCGTGGGCGGTGCTCGCGCGGGTGGGGGGAAGAGGGGGGTGGGAGAAGGGGCGGTGGGGGGGTGAACTGTGGAAGAGGAATGGAGACCCGACAATGAGCCGTCGTTCCGGGGCACAGAGGCGATCCCAATCGATGTAACTGCGGTCGATCCCGTGAGCGAACTCGCGCGTGCCTAGCGCCGACATCGGGGAGGGGTGGCGGAGAGGGGGCGTGGGGGAGGGGTCTGGGGGACGAGAGGGGGAATGTGGGGGGGGGGGGGAAGATGGGGGGAGGGGGAAGATGGGGGGAGGGGGAAGATGGGGGGGGGGGGAAGATGGGGGGGGGGAGATGGGGGAAGATGAGGGGGGGAGATGGGGGGGGGGAAGATGAGGGGGGGGAGATGGGGGGAGGGGGAAGATGGGGGGGGGGAGATGAGGGGGGGAAGATGGGGGGGGGGGAGATGGGGGGGGAATGTGGTGGGGGGGGGGGGTGCTCCACATTAGCACGTGTCTCGGCCGTCACCATGCGATGTCCTGCTCGTTCGCTCTCCCTCGCCTAGCCCCCCCCCCCCCAACTTCCCCATTTTCTCCTCCACCCCCCCCCCCCCCTATACAGAACCCCACTCATCCGCCCCCCCCCCCCCCCGCGCTATCCTCAGGTTTTATTGCAGAAGTTGAATACGTTGAGCTGTGTGTGCGAGACAGCACTTGCCCCTTCGGCTTGTGAAGGCTATATGGGAGATCCTTGAAAAAGATCTGTACACCGTCCATTCGGTGAGCTGGGCCATGTCGCCCGCGTATGCCCCCCCCCCCAGCCATCGCATGCCCAGCCACCCCGCATGCCCCCCCCCCAGCCATCGCATGCCCAGCCACCCCGCATGCCCAAGCAGCTTCCGTTTTGTCAAACAGAGGGGGGGGGGGGGGGTAAAACGGGCGCGCAACGGCGTGGAGAACAGATGGCGCGGATGCGATAGAGAATGAAGCTTCTTGGGCAGTTGGACAAAGTCGTCCCTCCGACAGTAAAGGAGGGCAGAGGAGCGACGCTCACAATAACGAGGGGAGCGCCGGGCGGCTAAAGCGCAGCAAGGTGTCACAGTGGGGTGCACAGGTGGTGCATCTGTCAGTCATCTCGGTCAACCCATGGCACCTGGGTCTGTTCCGTGACCTTCCATCGAATCTTCCACACTACCCGTGGCCTCACATTGCACCTGGCTTGGCTGTACTTTGCCTGGCGAACGGCGATCGCTGTTGCCGTTTTCATTTGTTTTCCGCTCACATTACCTGCACCAACATCATGTGTGCGGGCGGGGCACCTTTGTCTTTGTCTAGGGCACGCTTCACTGGCCAGACGACACGCACGCAGGCTTCAATACCCGAGGTTCCGAAGGCTTTCCCCCCCACCCAACAAGGGACTTGGTACAATCCAGAAACAATGAGAACATGACAGGACATGTTGATGAGTCAATAGGAATGGGGGGAGGGTGCGTTTGGGTCACGATTGAACGAACGAGTGCGTGAATGAGTGAGCCAGATAACATGTGATTGATTTAATTAATGAGCGGGGAATTGAAAAAGTGAGTCAGTAATTGCCGGATAGAGTGAACAAGTGGGTAAGTGAATGAAAGGGGTAAGTAAATAAGTGAGAGATTCATGTTGATATAATTGGATGAACAAATATAGCCGAGTATACATTCAAACCAGACAATAACTGTACACACTTGTTAAAATTTTGCTCCGAAAAGCGTGGCGCAATGTTTTTTGTTTCCTGTTTCAACTTGGGTCTGCATTAGCGTATGCCTGGAGGGTTAGCCAGATGATGAATCCCAACGTAGAATTATCTTATTTATCTATATAAATACCTTAATTATCTGTATGTATATATGTATGTTTCAAAAACCTACAGGGTACTTCCCGACAAGGGAGAAAACTGAAATTTGGTACATAGATCGCTTTTAGGAAATAAACAGGAAACATCTGAAAATCCGAAGTTTTTTTTTCATTTTAAGGATCCCAAATCTAGATTTTAAGTGCTCCATAAACATGTCTGTGCCCTGTAATTCAGAAACCGTTTGATGGAGTATTAAACAGCAAATACAATTTAAGCGAGATCCATTGTTCTATCTTTTGTTTGAGATGTTTCAGATTAAAGCGGGGTTGGACGAAAAAAATACGCATTTTATGGTGTTCAAATGTGAACAATTCGAAATCCGTAAAATATAGAAGCTTCCCCTCATAGTATTTAGTTAATGAATTCGTTTTTTTCTAATAATAAAATAACGGAATATTTAAATGGAGTGGTTTCCGATGGATACGTCTTTAAATATAAGAAGTTGAATCAAGTCAACAGGTTTTTTTTTGCAGACAATTACACATTTTTGGAGTTGTTAGTGTCTGATTCTAGATTCGAATTGTAAAAAATCATATCAAGTTCATTATTAGATTTATTGAAAAAAATTTGCCTGGCTTTATGAACTAGTATATATAACATAGAAACACAATTTATGACTCCGTGTGTAACGGTTTTATTTAACGATGCCACCAAGTCTGTTGGTAGATGGCAAAGCTCACTGTTACTGGGGACATAAACCAAGAATTCGATCGTGGATTTGGACGCGGTAAAGTCACGTAGAAGGGAGGTAATAGGGAAATAATAAAATAATAAAAATAAAACGCAATAAAATACAATTCTCACGACGTTTCGGCCACAACTCAAGCAGCCGTCCTCCTTCAGACGCTGTCTTTCCGACAGACCTGTTCTTTACCTGAGGACGGCTGCTTGCGTTGTGGCCGAAACGTCGTGAGAATTGTATTTTATTATGTTTAATTTGTATTATTTTATTACTTCCCTCCTATGTAACTTTACCGAAAGAACCAAGAAGATGAATCCCTGCAGTCACGAAAGCTTTAAATCGAAACTGAACGCGGTTGTGATGCGGCGAAACAACTCCATGCCACCCTCACTATTGTTGCCTCTACCCCCCAAGCACTTCACAAATATCTCGGGGCGCGTGGCCTCGAAGCTGCACTTCGACTCTGCTGTCATCAACCACAATATCGGGTTCGGCACCAAAAACAACCGTTCGGTCCATCTCGTGTCATGTTATCTCTCCCTGCTCGCTTAGCCTTATCACCATCATCATCACCATGAACATCATCATCGTGAAAAAGTTCTCCTCTGCACCATGACTCCGATGCTATTATTATCCTCATTGGACCCAAACTGAGTCCGCCCAGGTTGTGCTATCATGTCCACCGTCACCGCTAAGAAAACACTGTAAACCGATGCCAACTGCCCACAAGACGCCTTTATTGTTTTAAATTCTTCACAATCGCCGATTGGTCCCCGGCCCCTAAGCCCGCCACACAACAAGCGGCCGACGACGATTCCTGTGCATGTGACACGGGCAGCCTCCCCCGAGAAACGAGCCGCACCTGGGTGAACTGTGCACTTGCCGAACATCGCGCCGCACACAGCACACCGGGAGGACACCACGCGTGGCGCACGCCGCTCGTTCCCGTAACAATGCCGGGGCAGCCCTTGACATTCCAAAAAAACTCCCCCCCCCGGCGAGAACGCAGTAAAAGCACGAGTGCGTAGATTTGGTTTGGGTTTCTTGGAAAAGTGGAGCGAGTGTTACAGAGCATGTGCGTGCCGTACGCATCTCCCCCCGCTCACCCCGCAGGCCCCCCCACCACTAAGCTGAAGGCAAGTGAACTGGAGTCGCCCGTCCCACACCACCACATCACACCTGTCCACTCAGCATCCCATGCCAAAATCAACTCCTTTTGCTCATTATCGAGAGCAGCTGAAGGGCAACGCAAACAACGGGTGTTTATCCAACTCGGCATGGGGCTCTGGACGACGGGCATGATAATCCCGTCACAGTGGTGGGGTCTGGAGGCTACGGAAAGGGAGGGACCATCTGTGGAGCGTGGAGGCGTTGACCTCTGGACCCTGCGCTGCCCTGGAGTGGTGGAGCGAGGTGGCCATGCGACCCTACGGGCGTCGACAAAGTGGCTGCTGCGGTGCCAACTCAGGCGCAGAGCCACCGCCATGTCGCTTGCTCGCGGTCGTTGTGGAGTTCTCCTGCCGAGCAATTCGTACTGGAGTCGAGCCTGGCCTCAAGACGTGCGATGCGTGGAGCCGCGCACCGATAGCTGGGGAAGTAGCGTGTGAAAAATTCACCCCCGTCGCCAGATCATTAAACACACTGTGACTCACGGTCGCGATTCGATTCAAGAATCAACGTTTTTTCTGACACTGCGGTGAAGGTCAACACCTCCAGTGGCTGTGGGTACACGTGAACCAATTACTTACAACATGTGCCAACAGTCCTTTGTCAATGCACTGCTGTGTGAAGACCTCCCAGCGCTGGGTCGGTCAAATCGGCTGTTTGACCGTACTTCACCAAGCTGGTCTGCGCAGGTTGGGGAAGGGGGAGACCGGAGACCTATTCAGCTAAAGCTGGCCACCGATGTTTGCCTGTGGTCGGGAATTTAATTCTAGTTGCCGGTTTCGTAGCGCGGTGCGCGCCAAGCACTGTGCCACCGCTCCACCCACACGAGAATGAAACATGACCAATTGTTACACACGCCAATTTAAATCGATGTTATTTTACAAATCGATACCTTATTATTGCTCCCTGTATGATAACGCCGATGTGAATGAAGGTGCGCGTTCCGACCAATCGACAAGACCACACCAACACGCATCCTTCTCTGGACACCCGATCACCCCCACTGTACTCCCCCCTGTGGATGATCAACCACAGCTCACTGCTGACAAAGCAGTGGGCTGTGGTTTCTTTAGGGCCAAGTTTCTTTAGGGCCAAGTTTCTTTAGGGCCAAGTTGGTCAAGAGGCGACGGAACACGCGGTCAGCCAGTGGCTCGCCACGTGCCCAGACGCCCTTGTAGGGAGAGTTGCCGCGGCATCCACCGTCACAACAACGTGCAATTCCACATCGATGTTCGCGATGCGATGATTCTCGCAAAACATCAGTTTCCCACAGCTGTCTTGGTGTCTCACCAAATGTATCGTCGTTGTGTTTTGTGGATTGCGTTGACTGCCGGTGACACAACGCGAGACTGCCGTGTTGTCATCGGTGCAACTCTACGGCCTGCGACGCTTTGCAACGCACGCCACTGTCAGTTAACACAAGGAATCATTTGATCATTTCGACTGGGACTACGAAAGATTACGGTGTCATGTAACCATCATGGTGTCCAATTACCCCAGCAAATATTGAGCGAAAAGCTACATTATGGGAAAATAGCTATTTATTTTGGACTTTAATGATTGTGCGTTTGTTACCTCACTTTTTGTATAGATATAAAATCTGAAACAATTCTTACACAGGCCACGATAATCACGATACTTTACAAAACAGATTCTGCGATTATCGCGGAACTTGTATTTTACAATCGGGCTAAATTGTCGATCATCTTCCCAAGACATCCGGTCTACGCTCTCTAGGGCCTCCGCTAGTGGAGGGTCTTCCGCTAGCAGTCGCATGGGGAAGACATTGCGGAACTGCACCTTTGCTCTCTGCCTTTACGTTGCACGACATACCATACCGCGGCAACTCTACAGGAATGAAAATCCCTGCAATGTGGTCTCCCAGGCTCGAGTAAAGTGCGTACAGTTTTGGTCATGGAGCTCATAGAGTTGCTCGGAGGAATGTGGCTCTGTGGGTTTGGTCAGCGCCGGCCACTTGAGGCCACCGACGCCGTCTGGCCTGTGCGTGGCGAGGGACGCGAAACGTTCGACGGTGGGAACCGCACACCGACGCGCTTCGACAAGGCACGGGTTTACATCATCAACAAATGGGAAAAAGGGAAGCAAGTCAGGAGGTTTTGGTCTGTCTGCAGCAGCCGCCGCCACCGCAAGCGAGATGCTCGTGACGTTACAAGCTGCCCTTTCTCTGGGTCCCCGGCTGCGCCGGCGGGGCCGGCTCCTGCGGCTCCTGCTGCTGACGAGCGGAGCTGGACCGCTGCCGTCTCTTCCGCGGCGCGGGCTTTGCCGCCGGCGCCGCCACGTCGTCGCTGCAGCTCTGCGTAGCCGACGTGAGCGGGGAGCGCGGCCTCCGAGGCAGAGCCTCCTCCTCTTCCTCCGCGGCGGCGGCGGCACCTTTGGCCGGGAATTCCTTCGGCACTTCTGGCACAGCGCAGGCATCCTCGGCCACTCTCGGCTCCGAGGAGAACGCGCCGGAACCGGCGCTTGGGTCGCCGGCGTTCGACACGTTTCCAACTCTCGATGTTGCTCTCCGATCGCCAGGCGTCGGAGTTTTTGACTCCGCAGAAGGGCTGCCGCAGAAAACAGTCTCCCCGCTGAATGCCAAGGCGGCGTCCCCGGATTGGGCGTGGAGGAAAGGCAAACGTGGCGTCGTCTCGGCCGAGGTAGCCGCTTGGGTAAGAAGGTCACGGCTGGAGATGCCGTCTTCGGCACCGCCCGCAGGTTTGTCGAGCGAGGGCGGTGACTTCTCGCCGTACCGGCCAGGGGCGTCCGTGTCACCCGTGTGCCGCTCGCCCAGGTCACCAGGCCCACGGGGAGACGCAGAGCGGCCCTCGTTTACGTCGCCAGCGCTGGCGGCGGGCTCGCCAGCGGTGACGGAGGTCTCGCCGGCGCCGGAGACTGTGGCCCGCGTGGTGTCGGGAGAACACGAGCGCTCGTGGGTGGAGACAGCCTCACCGAGGCCGCAGATGCTCGCGTCTGCGATCGGCTGCCGAGCCGGCAAAACAGGGCGGTCCTGCGGAGCGCCGGCGTTAAACGGAGGCTGCGCCGACTCCACGCAGGGCCGTTCCGGGGCGTCTGTGGAATCTTCCGCGGGCTCTGTGCGGGCGCCAGCTGGCGCCACCACTCTGGGATGCTCTTCTGCGACCGCTGCCAGGCTCTGCCGTTGGTCGTTTTCTGGCACGGCCGTGACGGGACCGCCGGCGCCGGCTTCCTCGACCGCAGCCGAGTCGAAGCCGGCCGGAGCAGTGGGGCTAAGCGGAGAGCTCATTTTCCTCTGCAGCTCCTTGGCTTGCTTCCTCACCAGCCCGGCCTCCGCCAGTTGCAGAATGGAGGTCTGGTGCTGCATCTTCGGCCTAGAGACCTTGCCGCCGTCGTCGTCATCGCCGCCGCCACCGTCGCCCCCGTCCTCGCCGCCGCCGCTCTCTCCTCCGCTCAGCTTCTGGACCCTGCTGGCGACCGTCTGCGGGGCGACCTCTTGCGCCGCTCGCTCACCGCCGGGCAGCGCCGCGTCGCGCCCGCCACCGCCCTCCTCCTCGTTCTCCTCGGGGTACGGCGCCGACCCGGTGCCCGACCACCGGCCCGCGGTGCGCCGCACCAGCCCCGCCTGCTGCAGCTGCGCGATCGACTGCTGGTGGCGCAGTCCGCGGTGCCGCCGCTCCGTCGCCGCCGGCGACGTGTCAAACACGTCCTCCTCATCCGTGGTGGTCCGGAACGACGCGTCGCGAGAGGCGATCTCGGACAGCGAGAGGGGCCGGCGAATCTCGCCTGGCGCGCCGGACGATGGCGCTTCGGTCGCGCCGTCGGGGCACCCGGACCGGCGCTCCATCAGCTCCGCCCGACGCCGCACCTGCCCGCACACCGGCTTCCACGAGGGCCGCTCCCCTTCGTCGCCAACCTCCTTGGACCGGTTCAGCGGCACGCGCCTGGCCACGGGTCTGAAGGCGCCGGCGTACTGCGGAGTAACGCAACACAAAGCAATGCAGCAATGCAGCACAGCAATGCGACGGAGGACAATGTGGATTCGTATAGCATCTAAACACACACAGACACACTGGTGAATAGTTGTTTTATATAGAGAAAAGGCTGGCAGCCACGGGCAGAGAAAAAAGCCAATCCTGAAGAAGACTCTTCTGAAGAAGACTCTTCTGAAGAAGACTCTTCTGAAGAAGACTCTTCTTACAGGATTAGCTTTTTCCTGCATTGGGATGTTTGGCCAGAGGAGACTGCATTGGGATGTTTGGCCAGTTCCATGGTTATCTTGATTCATGTGGCAGGAAACCAGAGAATCTGGAGATATACCAGCATGTGGTGGAGCTCCGGTGCCACCGTACCTGTCCGGCTGCCCTCCTCTCCATCTCGGGCCGCAACGGTGGCGACGTGAGCTCCTCCTCCTCGGACAGCGACCGCACGCGCTCCATCACCGCCAGGAAGTCGATGCGGCCGCGGTGCGTCTTCACCGCCATCGACGCCGTCTGGGGCTGCAGAGCGGCGTGCACCGGCGAGAACGGGCCCAGCACCGGCGTCTGCGGGGACAGGGGCCGCGCGTCGGCCGCCAGCACTGCCAGGGGAGAGGGCCGAGCGCCGGGGGACCGCCGCGGCGACGGGTCGCCGGCGGTTCCGGCGGCCGCGGCGTCGGCCGGCGCCGCGGAGGGATCGTCGCCCTCTCGCGCCGCCGGCGGAGATGGTCTGGGCTCCCAGCTCAGGATCTCCGCGGCCAGGTGGAAGTCGTCGTCGCTGCTGCTCTCCAGGGCGTCGCGCTCCATGTCCTCGATGTGGATCGTCGGCAGCTCGAAGGAGAAGGTGCGTTTCTGCGAGGCGGACGGAGACGCGGGGTTGCCGAGTTTAGAATTTTTTTTTTCAAGTTACCCCTAGCGACAACGTTTCGCCAAAAACGACGGGCAACAACCCGAGCGACTTGCTGAAACGAGAACACGGTGCGGATTTAGCAGCGGTTTGTATTCAGGATCTTGTATCAGTTTATGCTGAATAATATGACAGCTTAATGTCTACCTCGCATCAGCGCGGGATTTTGGAGGAGTATTTTCGCGACTTTCCACTTTAAGGATTTGGTTGGTAGCGCTGCTCACAGCCGAGCACTGCAGGCGGCGCACGCTCACCCCCTGCTGTTCGCAAACTGCACTGCATTTCCATTTCATGATTCGCGCCCACAACTGCCTCTTTCTTGCTACTTAACATTCGACCCGTAAGATCAAAATGCGACGTAGCCAACGACTCGTAATGCAACGTGTAACGTGAATAATTCTACAAATCTGCCCGCGTTTCGCGAGGTCAGCACTCAACTCACAGTAATGCAATTCTGCCAGTTCAACCTCCGTTATGTGGTTGACTCGGCCTAGAATGATTCTGGGGTTGATAAAATCAAATCAAGAGGTTTTTTCTTAGCTTCCACCATGTGAATGTGGAATTTCCACCACTGGCTCTGGAGCTGTACAGGGATACGGGAGCCGCCGCCACCGCCACAAATCTACCGCGTGGCTCTGTCTCTCCGTCCCCGCGCTCACCCTCGACTCGGACAGCGACGGCGCCCTCCGCCGCTCCATCTCCAGGGACGTCGGCGTGCAGGGCTCGGAGGTCGGGAGGCCCGGGTCGAACCTGCCGCCGGCGAGCTCCGTGGGGGAGGCCGCGAACGGGTCCGAGTCGGTGCGGATGAGCTGGAAGGGCGTCACGTGGGGTGGACACACGTCCGGGGACCACGACTTGGGCCGCGGCGCCGGAGCGAGCGTCGCGGCGCCCTCGGTGCCGAGGAGTTGCGGCGACGGCTGTCGGTGGCACGGAGCCGACTGCTGCTGCTGCTGCTGTTGCTCGGCGGGGTCCTCGCCCTCCGGAGCCGGCGCCGGCTGGCCTGCCTCGCCGTCGATCGCGCCCTGGGTGAAGCTGCGGTCCATGTCCTTGTCGGTGGCGTGCTCCGAGATGTCTCCCTCCGAGTGGGAGCGCCACAGCTTGTTGTGCCTCTGTTTGCTGTGAACGGCGACGGCGCACGGCCGTGCGGGCGGGGTGAGTCCTGCGCGTGGCGCGCCAGGGGTGCTGCGATCGCTCGCCCCGCCCCGGCCTCCCATCGATCGTCACAACTCGGGGGTTGCGATCGATTCAAGACGTTTTATCACCATTTGGTTTGTATCGTTTCTCTCCTTATCTCTTCTTTATACAATGTTGTCAATTAGCTGAAATGTTACGTAAGCATAAAATTTTGTATTCATTGTGAATCCATTTTCACACCAAACATTTTGATGCATCCATCAGTTTTAATCTATTAAGGGATACGTCATTAGGAGAGGTTTTCGCTCACCTAAAATAGTTGTTACACACTTTTATTTAACTCACGCTGTCTCCTCAAATATTGTAACTCAATTATAAGCCACTTCCCAATGTGGTATCGACTGCAAACTTGGTATACTTATGTCATACCGACGCCAATACTATATTCTATCATTACAAATTAAAAGTATATATTTTTAAACATAATTTTTTAATGTTATATTTCGGCTTGGGTCTAATTGTCCACGCTCAACTGACGTTGGCTGTAAATCACCACGGCCCCTTACGTTATGGCAAGCTTTGCGGCCACTTCCTGGAGTCGTGGAGTTCTGCCTTTACGAGTACGGTACATTTCATTATAGCGTATTTAAAAAAAAGTATTTTTAAATATTACTAATTTCTATCAGTTTGCTCATTGTCGGTACCTCCATTATCCGAGCTGCCGACTCCCTGTCCCCCGTTTAACTCCAGGCTCACAACCTGCCTCTTTCCTTCTGCATGCTACGGACTGCCTTTCTCTCTCAACAACATTCGCCTGCCGTTACTGTTCAGCGTCTGAGATGCGATATAATTTAGATGCTTTATAAATCCACACTGCATTGCATTGAGACTGGACTACCCGAGAACATCCGGGACTTGACTATCACAGAACAGGCCTCCAAATCTGGACTATCACAGGGCAGACATCCGCGACTGGACTATCAGTGAATAAAAACCAGACGGGACTACCAAGGAACAACTGGGAATGGACTCTCAGAAGGCAGACATCTGACACTGGATTAAAGAAGGCAGACATCTGACACTGGACTATCTCAGAACATCTGACACCCGACGATCAGAGGGCAAACATCTGACACTGAACCACAGAAGCCTCATGGCCACACGCGGCACGAGCGTCCCTGGTACTACCTGGCGTCCAGGATGCCCTGGTACTCCTCGAGCTGGCGCATGAACCCCGAGTTGGGCTTGACGACGCCGCGTCGCGACTTCACGTAGGAGTAGGCGTGCTCCAGTGTCCAGCCGTACTCCTTCATGGCGTAGGCGATGACGGTGGAGGCCGAGCGGCTCACGCCCATCTTGCAGTGAACCAGGCACTTGGAGCCCTTGCTCCTGCGGGGACGCAAGGATACGCACGCGGCGTCATGTCGGAAAGCCCCCGCACTTACGTGCTACGCCGGGCAAGGGCTGCGTGGCTCTGCGAGCTCCGCTTCTTCCACCCCCGCTCTTCCCCCCGCTCTGCCCTCCAAAGCTACACGAAAGCGATTGTAACCTTTTCTAAACGAGAGCGTTGTTTTAAGTGTCTTTATTATCCCGAATGTAATGCCGATTGTGCCGTCAGCTTCATATTTTGAGACCAAGCGTTCATTCCGATCCCTCACAGAGCAGTGCAAGCTGTCTCGGGTGTGGACCAATCAATTTCAAGGACAGTGCACACATTATCAGAGTTGTGTTTTTTGTTTGCATTCCGACCGCAGGTATTGTGGTCAGATAAAAGGGTAAAAAAAGAACGATCATATTTTGCTACTGGGAAAGGATGTTCCAATGGTGCAGTGCAATCGTTGTTGGAGAATGGCCTGCAGAAGCAGACAATGCAGAGCGACTTCCGAGATGCATTTTTTTCTCAATGTTTTCCCGATTGTGCCGTCAGCCTCTCGCCTCGAGACTAAGAATCCAACCGGATATCTCGCAAAACAATGCAGCCCTTCGTGAGAGACAACGGCCCAGGGAAGCAGATACTAGCCAAGCACCTCTAAGAGCTCCCTTCAAGTGACCTCTGATTCACACGGTAGACGTGGCAGCAATCTCCCATGCGCTCCGCAGAGCAATTTTTAATACACTAGAATCTCGGCGGCCTAAGGCCACCTTATTCTAGCTCCTGCAGATGGCTTCTTGGCGCTTGGCGCCTCGCCCGTCGCCCCCACCGATGCCCTCTCCTTCCCCCCCCCCAATCTGTGTAGATACTACTGACTATTGTATGTAGTTGTGAGCAGAGGGTTGAAAGACAGAGAGCTGTAGAGCCCTGGAGGGGTCGTGGGAGCCGGCAGGGGTGTGCGGCTCACTTGGCGAGGGAGATGAAGTTGTAGGTCTCGTTCCAGTAGCTGCGCAGGTTCACCGAGTCCACGTCGTACACGCGCACGTTGCGGTACTCGAACGCGCCCGGGAAAAAGTTGTCGATTTCCCGCGTCACGTTCAGGATGTACCCAACACTTGAGAGCGAGAGAGATGGGGTTGTAAAAACAGACAGACAGACAGGTGTAATTCAAACAATAATAATAATACATGTCATCTTCTTATCAACTTTATTAAAATTCTGCCGTCGGTGTTGTGTCATGTGACAAACAAACCATTAAAAACTCTCAGAGAGCAGTGAGTGTAAGACTGCGTGCTGGAGAACGGACCACAGAAAGTGATGTGATAAAACTACTTCCGAGACGGCGAAAAGTGATCTATTTTATCCACAATAAGGGTGCCGCACTTTACCACAGGCCTTTCCATATGGATGTTCGTTGCATGGCAGTTAACGCGATCATTTAAATTCTCGGACCTGTAATTTTGTGCAGTCATTGGTGATGGTGCCGAGGCCATCAACTCGCTACGCTTGAGAACGCGCTTCAATCACAGGCGGCTAAAACCCACGATTCAACGCAGGGTTTCAGCAGTGACAGCTCAGGGCCCTGATCCCAGAGCCACCGGCCACCTCAACCGAGTCTAATTAGAACCGATCGCAATCCCACACATCCTGCCAACGGCGCACACAGCTGCAATGTAGGCGTTTAAACCGGACGTCGTACGAGAGGCACCCACCCTCTCTTCTTCAGATCCTCGATGCTCGATGCGTTCCATTCAGACCCCTACGGCACGGCAGAACATAGTGTGAACACCAAACAATCAGCACGACGGCACAACGGCAACACACAACAACGGCCAGCACAATGCCCTGGGCGCAAGCAACGTATCCTTCCACGGAACCGTTAAGATGCCCGTCGGCTACGCTTCCTGGCTTTGCCTGAACATGCCGACTCCTTCCTCTGCGCTCGTGGCAGTGAACTCAACGAGAGGCCCAATTCAAGTCTCGGCAAAAGAAGTAGCTCTCCGCCAAATGTATGCAAGAAAATAAAAGATCCATCGGCCAATTTTCAAACCCCAGCTGCGGCAAAACACCAGAGGGAGAACCGTGACGTCAGTACAGACGGCAGCACGGACACGCGGCGCACAAGGAGGCACCGTCGTCACCGCTCACCAGGTACACGTGGTCGAAGATATGCGAGGGGCTGTCCATCTGGCCCAGGATGATGATCATCTCGTTGTCGATGTAGCCCTTGTACTCCTTGAGGTTACAACCCATCTGCGCCTCCAGCTTGTTACGGATCTGTGCACACGCGCACACGCAGAGAGCGCACGCCCGCACGATTACACACCGCACGTGCACACACACACAGAGTGCCCGCATACACGGGGCCCACACACACTTATCGAGTGCAAACATAGGCAGAACACACACAACACTAACCGCCATTCGCCACTAGGTGGCAGGTGAACCACAGCGCCAGACCAAGTGTACTTTAAGGCCATGTGAAGTGTTGAACGCCCGCTGGCAGGTCACGGGACAGACCCAGATGCCATGGGTTATAAATCCATAACCCCTTATATCTCCTCGGTGGTGCTGGACGGTAACGCCGTGGTGAGCACTGCCATGGGGGGAGGACCAATTTCCATTGGCCATTCCCCTCATGGCATTTGTAGCCACCACAGCGGCCAAAGGGGGCTCTGGATGGGTGCGAGGGATTTCTAACCCCCCCACCTTCAACATAAGTACCACTAAACTAGGTGACCACACACGCAATCACGCACAAGGCGCGCGCACCACACAGAGTGCAAGCGGCTTCCGCCGACGGCATCACACGCACCGCACGGCTGCTGCTCCTGGGAGGCAGCAGCAACTCGCGTTGACGAAGGTGAAGTCCTGCAACTGCTTCCTGGCGCCACTGTTGGTGGAAGGGCCTGCACTAGCCAGCTCTGGAGAGCGCCTCCAAATGTTACTTTGGCCTACTCGTCCACGCTGGCGAGATGTTTCGGAAGAGTTGGGAGTTACCCACACTTTACCCCACCACACATGACCCGCCAATCGACTGTGGTATCAACATTTATACCGCTGGGCGGACAGAGCGGGAGGGAATTCAATAAACTTTCCCCCATTGTTTCACCAGCCACGCCCGGGAGGTCGGAGCGGCGACCCCTGGATTTGCGAGTCCGGTGCGCTGACCGTTACAGGGCAGTGATGACGCCGAGCAGTTCGAGAACTGTGCGCGGCCGGACGCTCTGCAAGGACAGCTCACTCAGCTCAGATCTTAAGCAACAAATCGGATTAACCTCGGCAGCATTCGGCAAATTGAACAACATCTGGAGAGCGAAATTCAATGTCAAGACCAAGCAAGATGGGTCTCTACGAGGGACATTCACAATGCCAGGTCTGTCCTGAGGATCGGGATGCTGGACCCCGAGGAGACAGGATGAACGAGGAGAGGGGTAATATTGGCAGCAGAAATCAATAGCTGTACACAAGCAAGAGCAAGAGACTTTTGCACACAAGATGGGAAAGCCGCAGACTTCTATTGAGTGGACACAATCAGGAGGAACGGAGGACATCTGGGGTTCCTTCCTGAACAGCCCCGTTCACCCCCATCCCCCCCACTCCCTTCCTGCCCTGAAGCTCAAGACCCTGGATGAGACACACCCCCACCCCCTCATCCAGCAGCTTAACAACACCAGTATTGCCCCCCGCCCCCACTCCCCACCCACCCACGTTCCCCTCCTACCCCCCCCCACCCCCCGTTGTTTTTTTAAATCAATAAATGACCGGTTGACCCCCGTCACGAACCGAGATGGAACAGAACGCATGTCGTGAGCTGGACCACGAACTCTGTTGACGCCGAGTTCCCGTTCTGTCGATGTTCAAAAGGGGGAAGAATCAAGTCGACATAAACAAAAATGAGATGGAGGAACACAAATTACCAGCGGTGGGCTTCCAATGCCCCATGTGGATGGAGCAAGAAGCAGAGGCCGTCCACGCAAGAGGTGGGTCGACGGCGTAAAGGAGGAGGAGGCAGACTTAGAGAAACGCGCGGGTCTGGGGAAAGCGACCGCCACACCAGAGAGAGCGACAGAGGAGTAGAAGAGGGTTAGTCCGGCATCGTCGCGAGCCGCCATGCAACGACTGATGGTGGAGAAAATGAGATGACGGTCAGGCATGTATCGATTCATCGATCACAAAACGATCCTTTTGCTCATGGTAAATGCGTCAATCCGTGTGCGCGAGATTGATCGTTGTTCAAGCCAATCGCATGTAAAAAAAAAAAATCGGACGGAATTATATTGTCACGTCTCATTTGGGATAATGGAATCCGAACAAACTTGCTGGAACAAAAGAAAAAATGAGATGCGATAAAAAAAACGCGACAGTAAAAGTTTCATTAAAATGTAACAGACTCTTGAATCGAATCGCGCCCACGAATCGCGACAATCTGTCAAATCGGCGGGGGCGGAAAATCGTTAACAGGCGGAAGGAACGTGCGCGGCGAATGCACCTGCTCCCCGCTAAACGCTAACTCTCTCCCATCACATTCCTCTCGCAAGTTGCATGCGGAGGTATTTATTACAAAACGCTCGTTTTTGAAACCTTTAAAGGACACGTATTGGAATACTCAGAATTCTCCAGGGTTGAGTGTTCCCAGAGCCTGGAGCAACGGAGCTGCCAATCTGTCTCCAAACAATTTTTTTTTAAAAGCGGCCATGCATTTTTAAAAACCCGCGTCTCTCCGTTAGCCACTCGGCATTGGGAACAATCAATACGTCCGCACGCCAACTGTCGTCACAGGAGAAGCGTTTTCTTTCACGTCGCCTGCGTGGTATTTAGATTTTTCCTTTCTGTAACGCGTTTTTATTTTTTGTTCCAATTTCTATCTGGTCATATTTGCTCTGCTTCCTTTACGCTTCGATATTATGTTTTATTATTTTATTTTGTGCATGTCTTTTTGGTGGACCCAGATCACTCTTGCAAACGAGGCTATCCCGGTCTATTGAGTTCTCACCTCCTGGTTAAACAAAATAAACTCGATCTTAAGCAGGCTGGCATGCAGGTAGACAGCTGGGCTATATGGCACATAGCCAGGTACATAGACTACTAGATATGCTCACTGAGCTCTATAACTCTTTTTCAGAAGCAACCTGGCCAAAAGTGATTGCTCAACGAAGTGGCTTATCGTGTGGAAATGTATAGCAGCCAAATACTCTAAACACATATTTACAAATGTGGAGGGAAAAACTCGAGGATCCGGAGAAAAATCCACGCAACCACAGGAAGAGAGACACGCAAACTTCAAATATACAGCAGACGTCAAGGTCGGGATAGAACCCACGACCTCCTGTATACCAGGCGAGGTCGTTAACATCTCGCCACCGTGGCGCCCTCGATACAGTCTCCATGTACAGCTTATCCAATGCGATGGCATCCTTAACGCTGTGCGTCGTGCAGGACAGACACTCGAGAGGGAAGGAGCGACGATAGGAGAGGAGAGAGGTTGGGAAACGGAGGCTGGTGCTATTGGACGGGTAACCAATCACAGGCAGAGGGGGAAGGTTCTAAGCGTGGACTTGAGGAGAAACAAAGTGAACAGTACAAATGTCTCGGAGGGAAAAAATGGCGACACAGGGACAGCCGAGGAGAAAAGAGACCTCCCACATTTCAGGCAGGGAGGCATACGGACGCGCAAGTAGGCGGGCCAACATCGGGGGACTGGGGAGCGACGCGGAGCGTCAGCCGCACCTCTTTAGAGGTGACGCTCTCGAGGTCGCACTGGGCCATGATCTCGCGGAGTGTGGCCCGGATCTGCCGCTCCGTGCACACGCTCTCCGTGGGCCTGGGGTCATGCAGCAGCAGCATCAGCACACCACCGCGTCACACAACAACAGACACCGCTGCATGAATTAAGCAGTAGTAATGTCACCATCGTCACCACCATGAGCAACATCGGAGGTCATATCTACGATCACTACCATTATCGCCATCACAACCATAATCATCAAATCATTATTATCCTCACCACCATCTTCAAGTAATCATCATCATCACCCTCATCATCGTGAGAGCTGATGTGGGTGCGGAGCCTCACGTGTCCTGGAAGAGCGCTGGTGATTCTGGCCGCTGGGACTCGAGGTCGCACATGAAGTTCCACTCGTTGAGGCAGCTCTGCTCGGAGGCCACCTTGCGTGCGTAGGAGGCGAGCCAGCGTGCGTAGCGGCTGCCGGACTGGTAGTGCCGCTGGCGCGCCTGCTCGCACGCCTTGTACAGGCACTGCAGGGCAGACCTGGGGTTCGCGGACAGAGTCACGCGGAGACAGCAGACGCTCGATGGAAGCGTGCCGTGTGCAATGCCACCGCTTCGCCGACACGACTCGGTTTATACGTCGACTACACACACAGACCGCACGCCAAGTGCCGTTATATGGAGACAATTAACATCCTTACCACATGGCCTGGACAGACACGGGCTTGAAGATGTGGGTCCGGTCTGACGTGGTCACGCTGAAGCCGCTGCAACGATGAGGACAACTCAGAATCAAGTACAAGGACATCGATGGTCGATTTATGCCGAAGGTTGCAGCACGCGAGCGAGCCAGGGGGTGCGCAGCGGTAACTTTACACGCGAACACACGCGGACACGAGCGCTCACCCGTCTCCGTCAAGGTGGATCATGGTGTCGCTCAGCAAGGGCAGGACCAGGCCGATGGTGCAATTGGCACTGTGGGCACAACCCACGCGCGGTTACAGTCAGCCGGGTCCGCGTGACGTCCAGCAGCGCCGCCGCCAACAGGAACACGCGCGTCGCTCGGAGGTGCCAACTGCGGGCACCGTGGTCATCGCTGACCACAAACCCCAAACCGGTGTTTAATGTGGCGCACAGCTCAAGAATAAAGCTCACACGCTGACCTCGTCTGGTTAGCTTCCAAGCCGCACTTGATAGCCAAAGCCCTACATTTGACCCGACTCAACGCGTATGCTATTCCTGGCCCCGGCGGCCCTGGCCGTGTCCGGGCAGCCGCCGTACCTGTCCTTGTTGCGGAAGTCCAGGCCCATGATGAAGCCTTCCTCCATGCTGCGGCTCCCGTGAGTTGACACGAGCGTCATGTAACGCACGCGCGTCGGGTGGACGCTCTCCAGGTGTGCCGCCTGCGGAACACACACGCAGCACACGCAGCACACGCAGCACACGCAGCACACGCGCGTCCAGTAGGCGCAGCACGGCGGTGCACAATACACGCACCGTATAGCACACACGCAGCATTTACAATACGCACGCTGCAATACACACACCACTCACGATGCCCCCGTCAAACACATACACAACACGCGTATAGAATATGTGCGTACAATACATACGTTGCATAGAATTTACATGTGCAACGTACACAACACGCACGTGCACAAACGCAATACGTATATGAGACACAATTCACACCATAGAGAAGACACACAGCCCATGATCAGATCACCCGGAATGTGGCCGAAGCAAGACTGAGCCTGGATAGTGCTTGGATAGGCCACTCTCTTGCACACCAGGTGCCTAATACTGCTGCGGAGATACGTTGTCACCAGAGGATAGTGTGGCAAACCACCTTGCTGTACTGCACCGTGCTCCTCCCAAGTTTATGCTCCCTGCCTTCATCAACCTACACTGACCAGCGTGGTGAAGCATGGTCAAAGCATGTCCACTACCTGCCAAGCACGAGTAGGCCCTCATCCAGCAGGAGATAGACAAAAGGGCTGTACATGTGCAATATCCGTACACACAAACACCACGTACACCACACAAGCTGCCGATGCACAACACACAATCGCACATGGACCTCGTCGCACACAGCACGCACGACATGCACAACATACGCATCACAAATCGTATTGCCAATACATCAGACGATGATGCGTACAATGCGGTAGTCTGACTGTCTCAAATCTAATTCCCACTATTGTTGTTTAAGTTTGCTGCTGGCATTACTGGCATTACTGCAGTGAAGGGGCAGGGTGTGAGCTGGGCGAGGCTCTGTCATTGCCCTAAGTTCACACCGAGAGAGAGTGAGTGAGTGAATCGGCTTCCAATATTCTACTCGCTCAGGAACCTGTAAAACCACCAGAACCAGACGGTCAGACGCTGCCCAATATTTAAAGCACCAAAAACCTTGAGAATTAAGTTGCAAAACAAAGTGAGATTAACACACGGTGTGTAAGGAGGAACCCAAGAGAGGATCTTGAATTTCATTTTGGGAAGTTAGATATTTTACACAATTTTATTTAGATTGTGCCATCGGCAATGTGACGAGAGGCAGTTAGCATTTGGGAACTCAAGCAGGGCTTTGCGCTTCGTTTCCGTGTTCGCTACGCGTAACTCGCAACCCGGGAAGACCTTGCAAACGAGTTGTTTCCATCTCAAGGGATTATCCAGATTAAATATTTTTTTTAATGTAAATAAAACCTTGTGCTAGGGAACTGTATATGCGGAGGTGACCTTTTTTATTGATACGAGGAGGATAACGCCCCTCTCTCCCGATACTTTCCATTCATTGGCTACCACATTCTGATGAGCCCCCCCCCCTCTCCTCCCCCCTCAACTCGCTTTTAAGGGATTACATCTTGAATCATTGCCTCACTTGATGCAGCTGATCTGGCTGTGACTGTCCCACCTGATGACGGAGACTTGTGTTGCCTCCGAAACGTCGTGATCTTTATTTTATTTTATTATTTTTTATTAATTTTGATGTTTTACCTACGTGACTTTACCGAAAACACCTAAGAATAGAATAGGATAACGCTCCCAGATAAACGCCAAGCAAAAATATTTGTGTCTTCCATGTGACAAATAAATTAATTGTGCTAAATTAATTGAAAAACCAAATGCAATGGGTTTTATTTTTCTTGTTGTCAGCCATTGGTGACTGTGCAAGGGCCATCAACTCACTGGACTAGTGAACCCGCTTTAACCACGGGTGGCTTCCTGGATTCGAACTCAGCTTCTCAGCAATGCCAGCTCAGCGCTCTGACCTGTGCAACGCGTGCATGTGCGCCTTCCCCGACACATCGGTGTCAACATGCGTTTCACACGCCGAGGGTGGAGTGCAAGCGCCGGAGCCACTGCCGACGGCCAAAACCGCGATCCCTTGCTCAGCTATCGCGGCTTTTGCCAGCATCTCAACCAGAACGCTTGTCACATGTCTGGCTCGGAATGAAATTGCGTCTCAGCAGCTCAAGGTGCGGGGTTGAGGGGGGGGGAGGGGCGAGGCGGGGGGTGCTCTGCCAGCCCTTGCTCACCAGCATGATGGTGTCCTCTGGCCGCATGTGGCTAAACATCGCCTGCAGGTGCTGCTGCAAATGTTCTGGAAGAGACACGAATCGGCAGGCAGAGTGAGTAATCAGTTTAACATGCAGGCTTTCGCTACGAATATCATCCATAATACAGGTTTTTTTAGTTAGAACGCGTAAATATGTGTCGTTAATCCCGCGACCACCCAATCATTTGTTTACGTGAAAACCCTTACTAATGGGCTGTGTCGGGTGGTGGCGGGTTTAACGACACATTCATATTTACGCAATCGAACCCTAAAACCTCTACTATGGCGTGATTAATCCATTGAATTTGATTCTCATAACACTTCCATGGAATTGCGCTTGAAAAAAACCACCGACGCTTTACCCTGAACCTTACACAGCCATTATGAACATTGCCAGAGCTATTATAAACCTCAGGGCCACTATGAACGTGACACTGCCATTATGAACTTGATACATATTAGGAACACCTCAAGATGGAAAGACACAGATCTCTAAGGTTTACGACATCGTGTTGAAATACCCCAACACAGAGACACCCAGACCTTTTAAGAGGTTCATAATGAAATAGCCATTATGGGCCTATTAAAAGGAACACTCGAATCTCAGCGCCCTGAAATATTTCAGATTACAATCCACAACACATAAATACCCCAACTAATTTGAAAACAAAATGATGCTCACACGTTTCTTCTATGTTGATATTTAAACGGAGTCTAGGTTGAACGTTAGGGGGGGGCTGTAGTAAAAAGGGGGAGCGAGCGGAGTGTGGAGGCGTCAGCAGCGTTCCCACCTGCATCCTTGTGGCAGCGCAGGGAGAACTGGTGTCCCACCGAGCTGTTCCCGCCAGGGATGAACAGTGCCGCTCCCTTGACGGTCAGGAAGCTGTCGCTAAAGTTTCTGCGGAGGAAAACGGTGAAAACTCAACCAACCCCCCAAGCGCGGCGCACGCCCCGTCTGCTGGTCCCATCGCTACCGTGTCACTCGCCCACCGATGTCCCTTCACCGGCAGGGAGGTTTTGTACATCGTAAGCACGCTACCGCAGCGCGCTGCAGACACGTCCCGCTGCTCCCGACCTGCCTTGCCTCGGGGCGCCGTGTCGGCTCGGAGGGATGAAAGCTGGCCTCCTCGTCGGTCCAGGGGAATGAGTTTTGCCGCCTCTCTGCGCCTCCGAGCAAATCACCCTGAATGTGCTCAGCCTCGTAAAGACCTTGGCCACATAATTAAAAATGCATTACACGTGGACAGGAGACTACATGGGAACACCAGCTGTTGTCGGATTGAGCTGCGACGTGGCCAGGAGATCGCAGAATGGCAATGGACTACACCTTTGACAAGTTGGTCCCTCGTACGTGCGGGCTTTACCTGGGGACCCTGGTGTTCTCCCACAAGCCTAGAAACGCATTCAATGGAATTGGCCAAACATCCCAATGCAGGACTCTCCAGAAGAAGAATCGAAGCGTGCGCATAAGCTCCGCTTTAATTTTCAAGTGTATCATCACAAGACCACGAGAGATGGCGGCTTGGGAAATCCTTCATCCAGCAGTGGATATACCATGGCAGCTGCTGCTGCTGATGATGATGTTGCATGCAATTAGTTCATCCAAACCTTGCACCCACAAGAGGCACTGCATTCGCCGTAACGGACAAAATCTGCTTTATCCTTGAAACGCACGCACGCAAGCCGATAGATATCGAGGCAGAGTGGATCTCAGGGGACGCGAGTGATTACACGCCTAATCTACAGTGCACCGCAACGAGGAGGCTGGCGCTCAGCGTAAGAAACATTCCGGAACAGATCCCGCGGCTCCCAACCTGTGGGCCCGCAGGGCCGTGGGAAGAGGTCTGCGGAGCTTTCACAGACGCTACAATTCGATTCACAAAACCCTGTGCAGCAATCATGCACGCGGCCTTTTAATTGACACTTCGCAGCGGTGCGTACAGAGCTGTTTGAATTTAGAGAAATATATTATTGGCGCGCAATGCGGTCCGCAAAACAATGTCAACGGTTGACAGGTGGCCTGCGGACCCAGAAAGATTGGGAACCACGGCGTTAGATGATGTCGCTGACGAGTTAGAGACGGGAAGAAGACTTGCAAGTATACGGCTGCGCGGATTGCGGACGGCACGCAGAGGCGAGTTTAACGCTGCAACAGAAACTTACGTCTTTCGGTCTTCGTCTTCTCTCTCCGTCTCCTGCAGAAGGCACCAGACATGGGGGTGAGTGGACACGTGTCCCGTGGGACTCGCGCACACGCGTGATCGCGCACACACACGCGAATGTACAAATGCTGTACACACATTCCTCATTAAGCATGTATACTATGTGTGCAGAGCACACAGATTTTGTACAGCTACTTGAAATGCAGTTGTGTTGAGATGCTATGTAAATCCAAATTAGTGTTGCTGGTGTAAGTTAGCGAGTGCCTATTAAAGGCGACACGGTGAATGAGGTGGTGGTGGGGCAGTACCACGCCAGGCCGCTTTCGTCTTTCCAGTGCTGATTATTCACACACCGCACCAGGTACTCATTTAAACTGAATCGACATAGCAGAGGCTGAGGATCCATTCAGATATACGCCACTGTTGGCTGTGAGTGGGAATCAATCCCAAGATGGCCTGGGTTCGTGGTGTAGTGCGATAACCACTGCACACACACATGCGCGCACACACACACCCTCACACCATCCAACACCAGCTACATTCCCCAGAATGGGCTCAGCAGCCAACACACTGCCCTCAACGCTGCATTCTGCATATTTTTTTACTACAGATCCACGTAAAAATCTTGATCATCGGTCAAATGCTTCAGGGAAATATGCAGCAAGCAATAATGAGCATTGCGGCCCGTTTTAGAGGACACTCAAAGTACAGTTTTCCAGTGCAGCGAACTGTAACAAAGCAGCTTGTTGACATTGAAATTGGCACGCAGACGGTCCCTGTGAAAGTCACGAACGTTACGTTGTCGGGAGACAGAGGGTGGGGGGGCCGTGAAGACATCCACAGAATGCCCGTATTGAGAACCCCCCCGCATCATCACAACACATCACTCAGCAGCCCGCTGTGAATCCACTGATGGCTCAAGGCCTCCCCACGTACTGCCCCCATCGCAGAGGCTGTTGGTGAAGTGGGGGGAGTCCAACCAGCACCAGTCCAAACATCGCTCGCCACCGACGTTGGCTGCGGTCAATCGAACTCTGACCGCTGGGGATGGTACCACGAACGTGCGAATCACCGCGCCACCGCTCCATCACGGCACTTGTCCCACGCCAATGAATCAACGGGCAGCGTGTTGACACACGAGTCAAGACCAGGCAGCTGTGGGCCCAGCGGGAAGAGATGCAGCAACTCGTGTGCGCACCGCCCACTTGAACACCAAAGGAATTTGTGACCCAACAACCAGCCGCTCTCCCTTATCTTACTTTCAGGAGTGTTTACGGGGCTGCACGCCGTGGGGTCGTGTGGCACGCTGTCCAAAGTGTCTCTCCACGTGCTTGAAGCTTCTTCAGCACATGGAGCGAAACGTCGGACATCGTGCAGAGCAACAGGCGGCACCGCCCAGAAAACGCATTCGACAGCTAAAGTCTACACAGAGTCAAGGAATCCGCTGTTTAAACAGCTCTCATCTTGTAGCTGCATGCTAGCGGTGTAACAATTGAAACCCCTCGCGATCCAATGAACGGCGTGATTCCGTCACGATTACATTCAAGAATCAATTCCTTCTTTTACATTTTGGTGAATGTAGCGGCCTCTAGTGGCTAGAGGGGAACAGCTGAACCGCATACAACATAGATCAATCGATGTCTATACGTGTGATGAATTCTATGCATTGTGAGCTTATTCATCAAGAGGACACATGTATCCATGCACCCAAACTGGGCTGTTCTACGTGAGTTTTAAACTTTATCAACAAGGAAATCTCAGCAATGTAAAGTGATGGGGCCAGTAATGCCGCCACAGTGCAATCAGTCACTTGATGTGGTCTTTATCTCACCAACAAAGCTTCAGGGTAATGTGTGTTGCGGCCAGGGACACACAGTCTAGCCGTGTGCAGCTACAATAGAAGAGCCGAGTGTTTCATTTGGGTTTGCATCGTCATTTAGCTTGCTGTGGAATCCTTTGAAACTGTCTGTAGGTGGCGGCAATCGTGGGGTTAACAACCACCATGTGACCTGTCCGTGCAGCCTCCCGTCACCCAGACAGAACGCAGCCTGGCTCAGAGACAGGCACGGGACCATCGATAAGGCAATCCCTTTGCGAAGTGAGATCCCACGGCCCACTAAAAGCAGGCGACTTGGCCCGGGCACAGGCGACTTGGCTGCGAAGGCTGCCGCGGATTCCTGTACTCGGCCCACTTGCCAGGTTCGCAAACCGTGCCAGCCTAATTCTCAAGCGGTGGTGGTGGGGACGAGACATCGGTGCTCCCAGCACAGAGCGCGGATCAATTAATTTACCGACAGATACAACCGGGCAAGTAGGCAGGAGCCTGCCACGTTCCAGCCAGAATGGCCTCGCACGCAACGGCAGCCTGAAGCCAAGCACACGACCAACAACATCTCGATTGCGTTCGCGAGGCTCTCATTTTTAACAGCGGGCCTTTCACAAACCTCGCGCTATCCAGTAGTGCAAAGTGACAAAAAATAGTTCGTAACTTCAAAGATAGACGCGTAGCACCCCCAGCCGTACACGTCGTCAGCCCTGCGCTGACGGGACTGCGAGCGCCCCACGGCTAACACGCACAAAGCACGCAGAGAGCACAGTGAAGCGACGTGCTCAGGCAAGCCCAGTGCCGATTACACAAGACAAAGATCCTGTGTGTAGCCTTCAACAGGCTGCCGGGGGCAAACACTGCTGGTGAACACCTATCAAGGCACAAGAGGAGGTGGGTGAACATTTGAGGATGAGTCGACCTAGGCGAGGTCCACGACTTGCTCAGATATCCGTCACTGATGTTAGCCGTGAGCGGGAACTGAACTCTGGTGGCCAGGTCAGTCGCGCAGTGCGCTCACCGCTACACTAATGCCCCCGCCGCTGATTACACGCACACACAGACCGCCCTCTGTGGAGTCGGCTGCAGATGACTTCGTCACCTGCAATTACACACCAATGACTCGCTCAACATAGAGAGTAGAGGGGGAGGGGGCTCTACTGTATCTCATGGGAATCTTTAATTCGAAGTGCGGTGGTTTGGGGGGGTCAGCGAAACCGGCCAGCGGGCGGGACGAGATTGCGTGGCTGCAATGGGCGGTGAGGCCGTTCCTCGTTGTGGGGCAGCAGCAACAACAGCGACGGGGGAACGGGAACCCGCTCGGCGAGACGAGCGGGTTCAAGCCCTTGGGGGGGGGGGGGGGTCACCACGCAACACTTCAAACGCGCCTCTTTCCTGCAGCGAGTGGCGTCCTCCCCTGCCACGCGTGTTAACACGTGTGGCAGGGGAGAGGCATTAGCTCTCTCGCAGGAGCGTACGAAACAGGGGGGCCGCCGCCGCCGCCACCTCTAAGGTACAGTATCAAAACCCAGGACAAAACATGGCAAGAAATATCTCTTAAGATGCCGGAATACGTGGCAACGAACGGCTTGTAAATCTGCGGTTCTCAACCGTTTGCACGGTCAACATCACGGGTCGGTCGGGCGCCCCCCGGAAAGTCTTTCAGTGGGGGCCGCAGTCTGCGGGTCATGGATAACAACGTTCAGGAGAAATGTAAAACGCGTGCGGGGAACGTCTGCGCAATGTTGCGGCGACAGAAGACACAAACACATGACCTGCAGCGTGCCTCGGTCACACCGCGTTGGACACGTGATCTCTCCGTGGACTGGGGCCCGACGGAGGGCAGGTCACGCGGGGGGGGGGGACAAGTGGCGTTGACTGGGGGGCGCCGCTCCGCCACCAAGCGTGTAAACGCATTGTGTGGAGTCGGGTGTTGTAATGCGAACCACAAAACGGATGTCTCAAGTTTCAGGATGACTTACTGAATTCCCAGGATAATCGTGGGAACACCAGGATAGGTAGCAACCCCAGTGGGTGGAGGCATGTGCCACTGGATGTCGCCCTTCCGCAGCCTGCTCCACTGAGATAACGCCAAACGTCGGTGCAAATGAGGGGTGTAGTGCAACTTGCATTCGTCGATTGATGTCGATTCCCTAAGCTAGTGTGATACATTCACCAAATCGCAGAATAAATATTTTTCCGTGCATTTTGTATGCAATGGTTTCATGTCCACCACCGCCAGCCACATTCATCACAATGTAAAAAAAAAATTGATTCTTGAATCGAATCGTGACCCTGAATCATCACAATTGATCAACTGTCCAGGGTCACAGAGCGAGGGCGATTTGTCACAACCCACGATAGCAGACAATGCAAATATTTTACCCACAGCGCACCATCGCCAATCGAACGTTCCGACACGGGCCCGGGGAAACCTCACGTCTCGGAGAAGGACGCCCCCGCTTCTTCTCCCGCGACGCGGAACTCCTGGCGAGCGAGCGGGGAGGCCCGTGAAGCAACTTCCCGTGCCGCTCGTTATCACGGCCGTGCACAGGCGGCAGCAGCAGCAGCACGCGAGCGCTTTCTCCGCTTATTTATCGCAACTCCTCCAGACGACGGAGGGCGAGCGCCCGGCTTAGCGTCGTCAGAGGCCGTCTGCCAAGCACCGTATGTGGCGTGGCTCGTGCAACGTTCACGATACAAACTTGCAAACCCTCGTGGTCCAAGTGACAGCTTGCCGGATGATAATTGGTTTTTTACCCTTTTATCTGGCAACAAAACTGACACCTTTTTTACAAGGAGTCATGTTTGCATAGACCACAATACCTGCAGTCATAATGGATAACTTTGATAATGTATGCACTGTCCTTCAAGGACTGTGCATACATTATCAGTTATGTTTTTGTCCTTCAAGGACAGTGCATACATTATCAGTTATGTTTTTTGTTTGCATTATGACTGCAGGTATTGTGGTCTATGCAAACATGACTCCTTGTAAAAAAGGTGTCAGTTTTGTTGTAGATAAAAGGGTAAAAAACCAATTATCATATTTTTTACTGGCAAATGAGGTTCCAATGGAGCTTGCTGGATGGTTTTTTTTGCTCTAACCGTTTTAACCACGTTACAATTTTCATAGCTAACCGTGCCGTTATACAAAATTTAGGTCTTTTTTTGCACGCGCAATGTTTGCTTTGAAAATCGGCATGCA